TGTGTGTGTGTGTGTGTGTGTGTGTGTGTGTGTGTGTGTGTGTGTGTTTGCAAGAGAGAGACAGACGGGCAGGCAGGTGTGTGCTACTACTTATTGCTGTTTGTGCTCTGATTCTGAGCACCTACTCTGTGTCTGTACTGCCTACACCAGCCAAGAACTTTGGCAACAAGGGCACGAGGAGCTGTGCATCCTGGAGCAGGCTCTATCGGGGAACATGTACTGTCCCATGTCTTTGTCCAGAAGAAGGGGAGACTGGTTCTATGCTCGGGGCTTGAGCTCTGAAAATCACATGAAGACTGAATCTGAGTTCACCTGCATCTGTCCCAGGCTTTCAGAGCTGGTGGTCATGGCACTGTGGACCACAGCCGGAAGTCAGGTCTTCCTGAAACACTTAGGTCCCTGATGTCCATAGTGACTTTGCTTATAACTGTACTGTGTACAACCTTGGGCAGTGGCTTCCCAGTTCGTGGCATCCCAGAGTGACCCTAGGATGGATGGACCTGTGAATACCAGAGCCAGTGAGCCTCACCTCTAAACCCTGTATTGTCAAAGCTGGCTCCAGTGGATCTGACATCCCTCAGTCACCTTCAGCGTCTGATCCCCTGGGACGTTTTATAAAGAGAGTTGCAGTGTCTATGGCACATGTTTGTTACAAGGCCACACAGGTCATTCTTTGTAAATCTGGCAGCAGCTGCCTTTCAGTTGCCATCTCTTTGAAAGAGTGGCTCTTCCTTCCCTGAGGAGATTGGCTAAGTATGTTGAATCTGGAATGAGAAATGAGAGACCCCTGTTCTCTGGCTAGGCCTCAGCGTTCTGGGGAATCAGGCACTCAGAATGATGATAAGCTAATGCATGCAGATGGCACATTCTATAAACAGTAGCTGCTGTCTGTGGTGGGCAGTGGTTCCAACCCTTGAATATTGCAGCCAGGCCAGAGCCCAGTGGGAGGGTCATCCAGGGACCCTGACCTCCTCATCCTCATCTCAGAGCCTTGCTCCAGGGCTCACTGCAGAATGTGTTTTCTGGCACCTGCTTGGATGGCATCCTCTCAAGCCTGAGCACACCATGCTCTACATGACAAGAAGTTAGAACTGACCCACCTTGCCTGCTAGGCCCAGGTGGGTAGGTGTAAGTGACAAGGCCAGGGATGCTCTGGATTAGGAAGAGCCACATCTAAGTTGGACCAAGGGGATGAGGAACACTGCACAGGGTCTCAAAGACTTGGTACCAAAAAAGCATGTGCAATCTATCCACAGTTATGTGTTGACAACATGTTGAAATGATATTTTTGGATATATTAGGTTAAATAAAACAATCAAAATTTGTCTCTCCCAATGTTCTCTTTTTGGCTCTTGGAAAGGCTGAAATCCCAGTGGCTTCATCTGTGGCAGCTATCCTACTCTTTGGGTATCTGTTCCCAGGTACAGGATTGGCTGTAGCCCATTTGCCTAGGACCCTTGCCTTCTCTATCTGTGTGACTCAGGTGCCTGTGGTGGTTCCTGAACACCATCTTCTCCATGGCCATAACCCAGAAGCCCCAGGTTCAGAGGATGCTCTTTTGCAAGAAGGATGTTTCATTGTCCCCCCACATCCTTCAGGAACTAGAAATTAGGGAGTCTGCACGACAGGACAGATGAGGTCTTAAGTTCTACTGGCAGTTGGCCATGAAGTCATAGGGTTCTGATGAGAAAAAGAAGATTCCAGAATAACTCAGCTGTACCTGCCTCCTTCAGGATTCACTAAGGAGGCAAGGTATAAGGGCAGGAGCCCACTACCTCATACCTCAACTGTTCTCGGGTCCACAGCCTCTCCTGCTTCATCTTCTCCCAAAGGTCCACAGTCTCCGATCCCAACCCTTGTCTCTGCCCCAAGATCCAGACCTTCCCTCTTGACCTCCCTATGTCCCATAGCCTCTTCTAAATCCTTGCTTACTCTGTGGCCCAAAGCCTTCTCTTCTATCCTTCAACTGACCCCTAGTCTCTGAAGCTTTCTGGCCTGGATTACTTGCCTCCCTCCAGCCAACCTCTCGGCCACCCTGCCCTGGTGTCCAGCTCTGGATAGCCACAGGGGCACTGATATCATAACCTGAGCTACAAGTGGTGGCTGCTGGTGAAGCCATGTCAGGTGAGTGGATAGGAGGGATCATGCAGAACAGTCCTGCTTCAGGACCTCACAGGGGCTGGTGGAGCTGGCTAGGTGGAAACACTCCTATGCTGCTTCTCAGCGCTGTGTGACCTCCCTCGGGGGCCTTCAACTTCTCTTACCTGAACCTCCAGGAGGGCTGTTCTATGTGACTCAGCAAGCTGAGTCTCTGAGCTCAGGATGACTGAGCCAAGATTACAGGAACTACTAGTGTCCCTGTGCACGAGCTCCCAAGTTGCCTCCTTCCAGAGCTTGTGGGCAGCCCTTCACTAGGGCTTTCACCTCCTTCACAACTGAGCACCGTCGCGCTTGAAGACCTGGAGCTTCTCTTAACAGAAAGCCTAGCTAGTCCTGTGCCCTTGAGTGTGGAGACCCCAGAAAGGTTTGAATGCAGTGGCCTGGTGTCCAGCTCGTTGGTCCCTGAACCCGACACCTCTAAGCGGTGGAAGCAGTTGGAGCAGTGGTGAGCCTCACGAGAGTATGAAAAATAGCGTGGTGTGGGGTAAGGGGCATAACACTGTGAGGGAGTTAACCTCTAGAAGAGGCACAGCTTGACCCAGCTGCTCTGGCCCTAACCAGGATAGCTCAGCTGCAGGCTGAGGTGGCTCGCCTGAGGGGACACAAGGAACGCTGTGAGCATGCCACACTGGGCCTGCTTCGTGAGCTACTGCAGGTCCGTGCCCGCATGCAGCTACAGGCCTCAGAGCTACGCCAGCTGAGGCAGGAAGTGCAGCAGGCAGTTCGGAGCCCAGAGAAGGAGGCGCTAGAGATGAGGCATTGGGCAGAGCAGCAAGCACAAGTAAGCCGCCCTCTTCCTGGCTCTTGGACAGCTTCCCAGACCCTGATCCTACTGATCCCAGTGGTTTCAAGCTCTACCTGCCCACCTGCACCTGTGCTGGAGGGACTTGGTAGACAGCAGACTCGGCCTGCCTAGCCCGCCTTTCCTCTTACAGTTGTCTGGACCCCAGAACCAGAACCAGATGCAAGCCCTGGATAAAAGGTACATAGAGAAAGACAAGTATTTAAGTTTCAGTGGGAAGGACTGGGACCCATGCAGGCGTTCTTTTCCCCAATCTTTTTGTTTAAGTAAACAATACTTATAATAGTCCAGCTTGGACTAGGTTCTCCACACACTGGGGCAGACTGTACAGGAGGTGGGAGGCTGGCTTCAGGCCCCCATGGCCAGACCTGCAGCAACAGAAGCTGCGTAGCTGCTCTGGGGCTGGCAGGGCAACTCCTTACGCCAGGCTTGTGGAGGTTCGGGAAGCTTTGACACAAATCAGGAGGACACAGGCGCTACAGGACTCAGAGCGGAAACAATCCGAGCAGGAGATAAACCTCAGGTGGGCCAACTCCCTGAACTTGCTCCAAACCAGTTTTATATATATACATCCTGGGAGTCTGAGTCCCAACCAAGGCTGAGGTCTACCTTCCCTGTGCCCTCAATGTCCCCAGTGGGCCATCCTCTGCCATGAGTGCTGCACTGCTCACTGCTGGGGTCCCTCACCTGCCTGTTCTTCATTTGGTGCCATGCCCTCACTAGGCACCCCAAGGTCTACTTCCACTTTCATGTGTTACCTGGGTGGTTTGTGTACCCCAGCCTGAAAAGGACTTAGGACCCCAAAGCCCACCAGCCTCTGGGGGGGCTCCCCTAGCTGAACTGGTGCTACTACACCTACTGCCTCTAGGCTGACCAAGCTGACTGGCTTGCTAAGGCAAGAGGAGCAGGGCCGGGAAGCAACCTGCAGCACCCTGCAGAAGAACCAAGAGGACACCAGCCAAAAGGTGGACCTTGGGCTGGCCAAGATGCAGGTACTTCTTGGAAAGCCAGGCCTAGGCTAGGCAGGAGTCACCAATGGGACTCTTGAGGACGACCTCCAGTGTCCCGTTGCTATCAGTGGGTCTCTCTCTTCCTGCAGTTGTCTCAGTGTATATGGTAGCACGAGGGTAGGCTCGCCGGTTCTATCCTGTCTCATCCCAGCCGCATTGCCCATTCACTGGCATTAACTGCAATCTTAGGCATTAAAAACCCACTTCTGCTGTCTCAGCCATGTTTCACATGCCCTGTTGCTCCAGGTTTGGGGAACAGAAGGCACAGGCCAGGGCAGTGCCTCTTACTGACCATCTCAGTTGAAGGAGCAGAAAAGGAACATCCTCTTCTGCAGCTATTTTCAGTTTTTACATTTCCCTCAAGTAGGAGTCACAAATTCCCAGAGCAATGTGTTCTCCCTCCCACTTGGGACCCTGTCTCAGAAAAAAAAAGAGGGGGGAGTTCTGCTTCCACATGAGCCTTAGGAGTGGTTTCACATGTCTGCTACCCAGCTCCTTGGCGCTATAAATAGGGAGTAGGGACTATAGCTGCTGTTCTGTGTGTTCTGTGTGTTCAGGCTCCTCATAGGATAGGGTGGGTAGGACATACTGGCCCCTTCCAGCTGTTCCAACATAATTCTGCTGCCCAGAAGTAGTGGCATCCCCCACATGGCTGCTGGGAAGCTAGCGCATTGGCATTATCCAGAGCACAGAAGCTCTGGGCTGAGGATTTCTCACATGCTGGGGGCATGGAGGAAGCTATTCTTGCCAGGTTCAGGACCTTTGAGGGCTCTTTAGCAGGACTTCACCCACGACTGCCTGTTCTTATAATAAAGTTTTATTGGCACAGAGACATGAACATTTTGTTTAACATAGTGACAGTGGCTGCTCTGGACAAGAGTTGGGAGGCTTCAAGGGAGACCCTGTAAGCTTAAAATGTTTGCTGTCTGGCTCTTCAGAAAAAGTGACTCAGTTTCTGGAACGCTAGCCTAGCCTGCACAAAGTTCTGGGTTCAGTCTCCAGCACCCATAAAACTGACTGTATGACACATTTGTAATTCTATCACCTGCATAATAGATGTGAGGTGAAGCCAGTCTGAGATATAGGAGGCCCTATCTTAAAAGAAAAATAAAAAGTGGCCAACCCTGTTTTAGGCTCCCCTTTGGTAGGAGAGGGAGGCCAGCAGTGGCTCAGATGAAGTGAAAACTTCCTTGAAAGCCATTTTTTCACAGATTATGGCCCAAGCCTAGCCCTTGGTCAGGGTCTGAGAGCTGGACCTGTTAGCAACAGAGCCCTGTGGCCACAGAAAAGGTGATATATGATATAGGTAAATGGCTGCTGGAAGGTAGGTTTTTTTTATGACTCTTCCTTGGTATGTATAGGAAGGTGGGACAGTCTCACTGTGCCACCTCAAACTTAAAGCAACCCTGCCGTGAACTTCAACCTCCTGAGTGCTGTAATTACAGGCATGTGCCAGAACATCCAGCTTTGTCAAATCCTGACATTCCTGGGGAGACACAAGAGAAACATTTATTCACTCCAAATAGGGAAGAAGTCAACAGGCTTAAAGAAAGATTCCAAGCCCAGCTTGGTGAATAAATGAGCTTATTGGGGCTCCTTACAGGATGCATGGGTAATACAGGTGGGTGCAACTCCAAAGGGCTGCCATGACCTCACCATCAAAATTTTACCTCTTATACACTTTAGTATTCGAGTAATTGGGGAGGAGGGAGTGGTGGTTGTAATTGCAGGGAAAGGTCTTGTGACTCTCCCTCCCCACTCCCAGAGAGGGACTCTTAGCTCCCATAGACAGAGCTATCTGCTAAGAGCTGTTTCTCCTTGCCACGACCGCAGACCAAGAAGAGGTCTCCAGAGGTCACCACAGCTGCCCTACTCCACAATGGCACTGGTGTCAAGTTCTAAAGAAGACAGCTGTGTGAGGTGGAGGGATAGAAGGCTGTCCTGTGCCTTCAGACCCTCAGAGCAGCATGAGAGCAGTATAGGAAGGAGACAGAACCCAAGGGTTACCTCTGGCTTTCCTTCTCCCTTGATGAGGGAGGCGTGTGCATAGGGTTTCCCTATGGGGATGTCTCACATACTAGGGGCATTTTCACACCTGCTTCTGTTACTGAGTCTCCAGCTCAACATGGAATTCAGTGCCCATTGAACAACCTTCCCTGGATACAGCTGGGCCTCTGGATATGTGCTGAATTGTCTAGACCCCCATGACCTTGACCGTTAGGTTCCTTCCTGGCTCATGCGACAGTGTTTTGGGGGACAATGGTCCTATCTGCCCTACCATCACTCCTGCCCAGTGCATGCAGCCTGGCTGTGCAGGGATCGGGAATGTGACCTGGGTGAGAAATGGATACACCAGGCAGGGTAGGGTATCCAGCAGGAAAGCTTCAGGTGACTTTGTGGCCCCTCACAGGCTCAGATGACTAAACTCAGTGAGGAGATGAGCCTTCGCTTCCTAAAGAGAGAGGCCAAACTATGCGGTTTTCTGCAGAAGAGTTTCCTGGCCTTGGAGCAGGTGAGGGACTAGGTGGGGCCCAGTGTCCTCATGGCTTGTGGAAGTGGGCTACAAATTCTTAACAGCTCCTACTGTTTCCACAGAGAATGAAATCCTCAGAGAGTACATGGCAAATGGCAGAAAGCAGCCTGCGAGAGGAACTGGAGAGCCGCTGGCAGAAGCTACATGAGCTGACAGAGGAGCGCTTGCGGGTCATGCGAGCACAGCGTGAGGTGGGCCTGGGTGTCCGGGGCCGGGGGGGGGGGGGGGGAGATGGGGTAGTCACCAAGGCTCAGGGCTGCGTCTGCTGCAGCAGGAGGAGGAGGGTCACCTGCTGGAGCAGTGCCGAGGCCTGGACAAAGCTGTAGTCTATCTGACCAAGTTCGTGCGGCAGAACCAGGTGTCACTGAATCGCGTCCTCATGGCTGAGCAGAAGGCTCGGTGGGTGTCAATCAGGACAACGGGCCACTCAGTCCCTAGCTCAGCTAAGCACTGGCTGAGGAATGCCCTGTCTCCCTCAACCCCTGCAGCTGTTAAGCACTGGGCCATTTGGGAATGTCATGACAGAATAGCATCCCTCTGCTACAGCTCCTGTTCCTCCTCCACCTTGACCCCCATAGCCCCTTCTTGGTGGCACCCTTCCTCTTTGGTCCATGGGATCACCTAGAAGGTCCCAGAACTAGCAAGCAGGGTCCCTCCCTGGCCAGTGCTAAGGGGCATTTTGGGCATCAATGTGCAGGGAGGCCAAGGTGAGCCTGGGGGAGACCCAGGCCGAGGAGCTGGCTTCATATGTCCATGAGAATCTGGAGGCTGTACAGATGGCTGGCAAGCTAGCCCAGCAGGAAACACAGGGTGCACTGGATCTGGTAAGGGGCCAAGTGAGGCAGTGGTCAGCGGGGATTCCTGTATACATAGGCATCCAGCCAGAGCCTCCCTGACTCCATGCTGTCCCTTGCAGCTCCAAGAGAAGAGCCAGGTCCTAGAGGGGTCAGTGGCAGGGCTGGACCAGCAGCTGAAGGACCTGAGTGACCACTGTGTAGCTCTGAACTGGAAGTTAGATCTGCAGGAACAAACACTAGGCCTGAAGCTATCCAAGGTGAGGTGAACAGACCCATAGGCAGGGCAATAAAGAAGGATGGAGCTGAGAGTAGAGACCTGATCCTCTGATTCAGGCAGTGGCTCCTGCACTCCCTCAGCCCCTGGTGTCCTCTCTCTCTCTCTCTCTCTCTCTCTCTCTCTCTCTCTCTCTTCCTCTCTCCCTCTCTCCCTCTCTCCCTGCCCTTCCCCTTCCCCTTCCCCTTCCCCTGTTCAGTTCAGCTAGATGTCCCTGCCTGGGAAGACCACCAGAGCTGCCATAAAGTCTGTTGTCTATATCCTCTGCAGCGTCTGGCTAAGCTATTTGGGCCATCTGCAGGTCTAAATAAAAACATGCTTAGAGTCAGGCACTCTGTCTCCTGGTTTCAGTCTTTTCTACCCATTTGTCTACCATCCCCACTGGATGTTGGAATTGTAGGCACAGGCTGCATGGGAAGGTGTGGAGAGGAAGTCCCTGCAGGACCTGACCCAGTGGCTGAAAGAAGTCTCAGCTCACTTACAGGAGGTTCAGGAGAAAGTGAACAACCTTCCCCAGCAGGTAGGAAGGCCAGGGTGCAGCTATTCCTGAGGGAATAGCTATTCCAGACCTTAGCTGGGCTTAAATGGTCCTGGGTCTCCCGTGTGGCTGTGCTGAGTCACCTTCAGGGTCCTACATATTCCACATTTCAGATAGAAAGTATCTCCAACAAGTGTGTTCTTCACAAGAGTGATGTGGACATGAAGATCTCTGCTGAGGGCAAGGCCAGGTGAGGGTTTGAAGCCACCCAGGCCTCTGGAAGGTACTAGCCCCCACAGTATTATTCCAAGCCCTGCACCTCTGGCCCTGTGGTTGCCTGGTCCCCAGCTAATCCCGCCCTGGACTCTACCTCCTCTGGTATAGCCTGCATGCAGCCTCAAGCTTAGCCCCATAACAGCCTCAGGAATCCTAGCTCTGGACTGAGCCTTTTACCTTGGGCCCTGGGACCCTCTACAACCAGCCCATGGTACCCACAGGGAGTCTGAGGTGGAGGCCATGCGACAGGAGCTAGCCAGCCTGCTGATATCCGTGCAACTTCTAAAGGAGGAGAACCCCGGACGGAAGATTGCGGAGATCCAGGGCCAGCTGGCCACGGTATCCCTTGGACCCCAGGAAGCCACCTGTATCTGTCTGCTTCCCTAAACCCTGGGCTCACAGTAATTCGGCGGTAGTGTATATATCTGGGCATCGGTAGTCCATGTCTAACCATGATTGGAGCTGTGTTTAGTTTCAGAAGCAAATGATGAAGTTGGAAAACAACCTCCAGGCCAACAAAACCATCCAGAACCTGAAGTTTAATAACGAGACCAAGCTGGTGAGAGGAGGCTGAGAGAACCAGTGACCCCTCACCCTCCGCCAGCCGGCCCCAAGTCCCTCTGCTCCTGCCTCCATGGGGTCCCAGGCAGTCCACTAGTTGGGTAGTATGGAACAGTGTGTCCTGGAGCTAGGGCCCCCTGCTGGGCTTCCTCCGTAGAAGGTATCCCCAGATACACGTATCTGCTGCCCACCACAACGATCCAACTCTCATTTCTCTGCGGTTGTCTCCTTCCCCCGTGGGTCCTCTTCTTTTACACTGTACCTCCGCACTTGCAGCGCACAGAGGAGATTGCGACCCTTCGAGAGAGCATGCTGCGCCTGTGGAGCGAGGAGGGCCCCTGGCCGCTAACAGTGGGCAGCAAGCGGGTATTCATGTCCCTGGTGAGGCAGCGCTTCTTCATCAAGGATGTAGCCCTGGATGAGCTGGTCCCGGTGAACTCCTGGGGAGTGTACCAGGCTGTGAGGTGGGCAGCTGAGAGCCCGGGTCTCCCAAGGGTAGCAGCCTAGCTGCAGGAGGTGTGTTGTGTATGAGCTTTGTCTCCGGGCAGGTGGCTTCAGTGGAAGACAGTCCTCTTGAACTTGGTGCCCCAGCAAAGGCCAGGAGCGATCTCAGCAATGGCCCACTAGAAGCTTGCACCCGAAGTCATGTCTCTGGCTCTGTCCCAGAAATAAACACGCCATTTTTTGTACCTATTGGAGCCGGACTCTCTTGTTATCTGGTGGAATGGTTTTTCCACAGCTCATAGGCCTGGCAAGGGTGTCAGGTAATGAGAGGGACCAAACTCAGAAGGTCCAAGTTATTTGATCCTGAAGGACCCTTCCTGCCCTGCCTAGTCCAAGGCCAGGCTTTCACGTTCCTTGGGGGTCCTGTGCAGAGGCACCTAGGCTTCACCTGTCAGGACACACCCTAGCTTCCCGTGAGCACCCAGGTTTCGAAGCTCAACCTCTGCCCGCTGCCCACTAACACTGAAGTGCCACCAAGAAAGCCACTTGTGAGCATGAATCTGGACAGTAAACATCTATGTTTCTTTGTGTGCTCAGGCAGTGTCCCTCTTCTAGCCTCTCTTGGGGATGGCCTGGTAAAGAATGTGTCTTCCCCGAGGGACAAGAGTGTACAAGTGACTCAGTTCTTGCCTGAGTTCCATCCACTTCCTGTGGGCAGAGTTCTGAGTCCTGCTGTGTATAGTGGGATCCTACAAGAGCTGGTAGCTGGGTGTGGCCAGATCTGGATAAGTGGCTGCTCTCCCTACCCTCAGTGCTGGTGGCAGCAGTTCCGGGCTCAGGATAAACTCAGATTCTCTCAGGCCTGCTCTCATGAGGGAGAGGCAACTGCATGGCTACTTAGATAGACCACCTAGAGCGGGGCCTGGGCTACAAGAGGAAGATGCTAGGTGCCTTAGAAGGGGCCACTGCTGCTGAGGCACACTCCTGACCCACCTACTCACTAGACCTCAGCCAGCTGTGTCCCCTCCAGGGCCTGGGTGCCTCCACTCTGCAGCTCAGAGCCACCCTCAGCAGACCAGCTGGCTAGCAGATCACTAAAGTCTGGTGTGCCTGGATGCAGTAGGCCTAGTGGGTTGGGCACAGGCTCCTTCCAAAAGGATGGAGGCAATTTCCTTTGTGTCATGGGGGTAATGTGGCTATACTTCCGCTCTAGCCTCAGTCTTCGGCAAGCTGACACATTGGGCCTAGAGAACTGCCGAAGCCCATAATCAAAGAGCTCAGCCAGGGGACCCAGTGGTGGTACCCTGTCCCCTCTGTGGCCCAGTCTGTGCACCTGGCCCTCAGGACCCCCAGGCAAGTGCACCCTGAGCTCAGCAGCATCCTCATCCTCTGGGGACCCACCTTGAGCCAGGCATACCAGGTCAGCATAGTATAGATCCTGGGCAGAGCAACTGGCTGGTTGGCTGTCAGCGTAGATGTCTTGGACATCTGGGCCTTCCCCTGTGTCCTTGCGTCCAAAGTACCGCTGGATGTCACCACTTATGAGCTCTGAGAATCGCAGCAGCTGCATTGGGGTCTCGGGGCTGCTGGGACTCTGGGGGGCCACTCCTGAGCTCTGGGAGCTTGGGCCGCAGCCCTGTGGCCCCTCGCCTTGTAGCTCTTGGTCTCCTTCTTCCTCCTCTTCTTCCTCCTCTTCCTCCTCCTCTTCCTCCTCCTCCTCTTCTTCAGAAGTTTCTGGAACCTCCAGGTCTGTGGGCAGGAAGGGCTGGTGTGATGGTAGGGGCAGTCGGAAGTCACAGACAGACCGTATCACACCAGCAGCCATCTTGTTGAGATCTCCAAGATTCTGGGGATCTCTGGAGCAACAGACATAAGCTAGGAGGGAAGTAGCGCAGGTTAGCAAGTTAGGGCTGGCAGTACCCACTGGACAGCTTCAATGTTTGGCCCCGAAAAGGCTGCCTCAGCTCTTTCCTCTCTCGATCCCCAGGCCTCCCGAACTCAGGGAGAACATGGCTTATCAGAGAGATGTACAGGATCCTCTCTTGTAGGGGCAGAGCCATCAAGGTACAGGGGAACCAGATGGTGCCACTAGAACCGCCACAGTTGTGATCACTCAGGCTACAGAGTAGGGTAAGGGGCAGATGTCCTAGAGGTCAGTACTAACCAGAAGCCTGACAGATGCTATGGGGAGCTTCAGGGGCTGAGATGGCCAAGGAACCCAACCTGACCTGGTTCCTACCGACCTACAGTTATAGCTCTGGGGCTGTTTTTTTGAGGAGGTGCAATTGTTTGGGTTTGGCTTTGGGCTTTTGGCTATCCTGGAACTTGCTATGTAAACTGGACTGGCCTCCAACTCACAGATGTCTGCCTGCCCCTGCTTCTAGAGTGCTGGGATTAAAGGCATGTGCCACCACTCTTGGGTAGGGATTCTTGTTTTTTAAGAATCTCAAGCCAGGTGTGGTTGTGCATGCCTTTCATCTCCGTACTCAGGAAGGAGAGGCAGGCAGATCTCTGAGTTTGAGGCCAGCATGATCTACAGAGCGAGTTCCAGGCAGCCAGGGCTACAAGGAGAAACCTGTCTAGACAAATGAAAGGAAGGAATAAAGAAAAGAGAGAGTCTCCCTTGGAGCCTAGACTGGCCTTGAACCTGCATCGATCCTGCCTTAACCTCCTTAATGCAGGGATAACAGGCACGGGCCACCACACCTAGCTAGCCCTGGGTTTTAATTTGACACCTGATCACAATGTGAGGATACCTGAGTGACCCCCACCCAGACCTCCTGCTAAGAAGGGGCTAAGGGTGGGAGAGACAGATGAAAGATTCCACAGAGGAGTGGACACCAAGATTGCTGTACATGTCGTGAAGGGCCCAAGGACAATTACTGATCCGAGGAAGGGGAGGTGGTTGAGAGAGTAATGTGGCTCTCCTGGCTAGTGACCCTGCAATGGATCTGAATCCTAGAGCCACCAGGCTCCTTCACAGAGAAAGGGATGAACAGATATCCAGCTAGCTGGATCAGGAGACAATCTCTCTCTGAGAGGCTTGGGTATGAGTGGCCCCTTGGTCAGATCTCCTGAGGGTCAAACTTACAGCCTCTCCCATCTATCCTGAAACCCTAAGTTTGGGAAGCAGCTGGCCACTTCAATGTTCTACATTGCTGGACCCCTCTGTCCCAGGAGGTATCCAGTGGTCCTGACACTCGCCTTTGAGGATGATCGTTAGTGGTGAGCTGAATTCGGATACATGTATTTCCAGCGGAAGGGATCCCCTCCCCATCCCCCAATGGTGTGACCACCCCAGAAGGCTCCAACCCATTCACCCAGGTTCCTACCTGACTGGGACGGCAGTGCTCACTCAGCAGGCCCACCTCTACCTGGGGCGCAAGCATTTATAGTTGGGCTCCACAACTGCCTGAGGCTGGCAAATATTTGGCAACGGCATTGTCATCGCAGACTGGGCAAACAGAGCCCGTTTGTTTTAGCGCCCAGCAACCAGAGCTGCTCAGGGGGGAGTGCCCGCAGCCTGCCTCACCTGCACGCAGCCTGCTGGGGGACCGTGGAGTGTTTGCCTCTGGCCCAGCTGGCCCACACCCTGGACCCGAGAACCCTTATCTGTGCTGCTGATTGGGGCCCCATCCAAGCCTTGTCAAATAGGCGGAAAATTAAATTTCATGCTATTTTGAGTTCTGGAGTACGCCTCTCCAGAGGACATCCTGCCTGCGGTGCATGCTATAAACCATGCTCTGCAGCAGCAGGACCTGGAGCAAGAGGAAGGGACTGGGGCAGTGAACAACTCACCAGGTCCAGGATGGGAGCTAATATTTGCAGCCCTTGTAACCCCTTCTGAGCCCCTCCAGCCTCCGGGCCTTTGTGCGGCTGAGATTAACCACAACCACATCAACCAGCCAGCTGTCCTGGTAGTCAGCGTGACTGAATCCACTGCTGTCCTGAGCATCCTTTGTAGGGTGGGGACAAGGCACGTCCCTTCCCTGGTTGGAAACCTGTATATACCTACAGGAAAGTGGAGTTGGGGCTGTAGTGCTTACCTCTAGTCTTCCTGACCTCTCTGCCTTTCTGGTGGTGTGGCTTCTTCTGGCTTCCTTAATCACTGAATCACTGATCCCAAATTGGGTGCTTTTAGAACAACAGGAATGTATTTTCTGTCCTCCTGGAGGCCAGAGTCCAAACTGAGATATCACTAAGGCTTGTTCCTTCTGGACAGTTGAGATCCTGGGGCGTCAGCCACTCAGTGTCCCTTGCCTTGAAGTCTGTCGTTACCATTAATGCTGTCATCTTTTTTTTTTTTTTTTTTTTAAACCTTGGGACAGGGTTTTGCTATATATCCTAGTGGCTATCAGGGTGCTGGGATTGCAGGCATGTATCACCATGCTTGCCCGGGAATGCTCACAAGGATGTTGACCATTAGATTTAGGGCCACCTGAATCCAGCACATCCTTAGTTTAACTAGCCACATCTGCAAAGACTTTTTTCAAATTCACATTCTGTGGTTTGGGGTGGACACGCATTTAGTGGAAGACACTATTCCGGCTGATCCAGGAGCCTACAGGAAGAACGTGACCCCCAGATCACCCAGCTTGCCCTGAAGTAACCCACAGTGACTTCAGATACCATCCAGCTATGGTTCCTTCTCCTCCTGCTGCTGCTGGGGCTAGTTCTAAGGAGAGGAAAGTGGCTCCTCCCACCTTGGCTTTCACTATCTGGGGCCCCAAAATGTTTGCTGATTTTCTCTAAGTCCAGCTCTTCACCTGGCCAGGGGATCAAGAGGGATGCAGGTACCGCCTACCTTCCTTGGGTCCTTTGCTCCAGACACCATCCCCACTTTAAGCAAGGGCAACATCTTGATTTCAAGCCTGTGAAACCTTCTTGGGACCCTGACTTCCAGGCTGTTGGCATGCCGCCTGACACTCTGGCCTTCAGTCTTTTCCTGCCCCCTGAGCCTATACTTGGTGGCTTCAGACAGTTTGTGGCTCCTGGAGGGTAGGAGATTAAGGGAAGCAACCTTAAGATACTTCACACCTGGTCACTGCAGTTTGGACCCCCACCCAGCACAGGAAAGCCACCGGGAAATGACAAGTTAGGCCCTAAGGAGAAGAACCTCTAAGGACTAACCTGAATTGAGATGAACTGAGATTGACATACCACTTGCCTAGCATGCTCAAAGCTCAAGGTTAGTTCCCCAGCACCATATATGGGTATGGTGGTACATGCCTATAATCCCAGCATCGAGAGGTGGAGGCAGGAGATTCAGAAGTTCAAGGTCATCCTTAGCAAGAGCAAGGCCACACTAGGCTACATGAGAACTTATGACAGTACAACCTGGAGGCAAGGCTGATGCCCTGGTGTGAATGTCTGGAAAACTGTGTATATCTAAGGATTAGGTTGTAGCATGTGGGTTGTGAAAAAGAGCAGCAGGTGGCAGGTCACCTGTAGGCCCAACAGCACACACTGGAGGGCAATGGCATAGCTGCTGCCAATTCTAACCTTTTCTGCCTTTTCTCAGGCAGGAAATTCAGGTCATGTCCCCACAGAATACCAGATGAGACTTCTGGCATGGAATGAAGTGTGCCTGGCTAGGCCCGGTTCTGAGTGCCCATTCTGCTCTGGATTCCATCTCCTTCTGACTCTAGAGTCTGACGATGTTAGAGTCCAGCGTCCAAAACCACACACCAGTCTTGGCTGTGAGTGGCACTGCTTCAGCCTCAGTCAGCTCCCTTCTCACCCACTGAAGCTCAAACCTTCAGGGGGACCGGAAGGTGGGGGGGGGTGGGAGTGGAGGGGTTTGCAGTTGCTCCAAGCTGAAGCCACGTCACCCTCTACTGCTGGAAGTGAGAAGGACAAGCTTGCCCAGGAAAGGGATGGAAGCAGGTGGATGCCCTAACACTGGTCTGTGGGCATGGGGTCTACAGCTGTGTACCTGCTGTGGGCAGGCAGGGCAGGGGTAGCCAGGGCCTCAGGGATCTGGGTAGAGTACCCAACAGGGCATGTGGGTTGTGATTTGCATGCCACCCTGACCAGCACTTGAGACGGGAGCACGCACTGAGGCTGTGGGTGCAGACCGCCACCAGCTCTCTTGGTCAAGTCTTGGGCTTTCTGGACCTCAGGCCAGGTGCTTCAGGAGGAGGAAATGAGGCATAGATCTGCCCTGAAGATGGTCCCACCTATGTTTGACAAAATAATGGGCTTTGTAAGAGCTGGGTCTGAAGCAGGGAATTTAGATGGGCCAGCTGAGGCAGGAAGTGTGTTCCAGCAGAGGAGAGAGTCTGAAAAGACTCAGCCACTGCCAAGGAACTAGAATCCCGGAGGTCACTACCGAGTCATGAGGCAGAAGTGGGAGATCAGAGACAGACAGGGACCAAAAGATGCTCTGTTGTTGGCTTTGAAGAAGGAAGAAAGGACCTTGAGTGAGGAAATCTGGAACTTTCAGAAGCTGGGAAACACAAAGGATCCAGTTTTCTTTGCAGTCTCTGGAATGTTATCTGACACCTCCACTTCAGGGCCAGTGAAAATTCCCCTGGACTTCAACCTGAGGCACACAGCTCAACAGGAAAGCCATAGTGAGAGGGGCTCCAGAAGGGGCTGGGTGGGTTTGGAGGACTCTGTAGCTGGCTGTGAAACACACAGTCTCCCAGCATGGGGAGCCTTTGTACCAATGTCCTAGGTGAGATCATGTTTAGGTGAGGTCAAGAACTCCAGAGCCAAAAGCTAGGTGTGGTGATGCATGATTATAATCTTAGCTCTCAGGAGGCAGAGACAGAAGGATCCTGGAGTCCAACTAACCTAGCCTTCTTGAGTTTCAATCTAGTGAGGCAATGTCAGAAAAGGGTAAGACTGGGTGTGGTGGTGCATGCCTTTAATCCCAGCACTTGGGGGCAAAGCCAAGCAGATCTCTGAGTTCATGGCTACATAGGGAGACCATGTCTCAAAATAGATCAATAGATAGATAGATGGATAGATAGATGGATAGATGGTAGACAGCATCTGAAAAGCCATACTTAAAGTTGTCTTCTGGCTCCCACATTCATGTGTGCACACATTGACAAGCACTCTTCCCCACATACATGTACACCCCACTACCCACGCACATGCATCCTAACGCATAATCATACATATACACATACAAGCACACATGCAAGGAAACCAAAGAACACTAGAGCCTTAGCTGTTTTTCATGTGTAGAGAGACCCTCTGCAGGAGGGCATAGGAGGTCACTCCCCAGGGCTGCCCCCTCCCAGTGCTTGGGTTTTTACTATAACATCTCCCCACATACCTGCTTTCCCCCTTGTCTAACTCAGGAATCTGGGTAGTGGGACTAGGACTTGGACAGCTTTAGGCCATGAACTGACCAAGAGCAGAAATGCTCACTAGTGCTGGCTGAGAGGAAGCTGTACACTGACAGTCTTGTCTTGAAGGGCCTTGTCTTTACCCTGGAGTAATTCTGATGCTCTTTACTGCCTGACAAGAGATGATGGAGAAAACCACCAGCTGGGCTGGAAGATTCAGAAATGAGAACAGTTGTTTGGGAAGAGATGGGGCTGGCATGGGGATGAGAGGCCTGAGGGAGGAAGCCAGAGAAGGTGCTGCTGCATAAGTCCAAGAAAATGGGAGGGCTCTCTCTGGGAAGACCTGGAGACTTAAAGGGTGTGGTTAGGGAGTCACCCCCCCCTTTTTCACCCCTGCTGAGTTATGAGCTGTGTTCAGGGCAGACAACCTGTGCTGCAGGTAGAGGTTGAACTCTAGCTTTTGTTTCTGGTAAGGAGGCTTGGTCAGGAGACTCTGTGTGTGTGTCAGTGAAGAGACACATATTCCTAGAATGGTTGGCCTCGTATGTATAGTTGGCAGTTAGTGGGTGGACAAGGCCAGGCAGAGCCCCTGTCACCCTAGCCTAATCATCAGCCATTTGGGGACCCTGGAGGAGGCTTGGGCTGAAGCATATGTCCTAGCATCTGCTCCTAACTGGGCTATGTTTTGGGTTGGGCCCAGCAAAGCTCTCTGCCCACTATCCCCTGCCCCCACTCTCCTGCACTCACTGTCAGGCCTCAGACCCTGGGAGAGCGGGACTCTGCCCTTACAGGTGCCCCTAGGCACCTGGTATCTATCTTCCTGGGAAAATCAATAGCTCCAATATGTCAGCTCTTAAGTGGAGCTACAATAAATTACCCTGCCATTAAGCACACTGATGGCTGCTGCCTCTGCCTCCCATTAGTGAGACATTAGGCTTCCTGTGAAATTTCTGTGTGCTTTGCAATAATGAGGGCTGAGGTGTTGGTTATGTCCCTGAGGGGCAGGGCAGTACGTCCACTACTGTGGCCCATCACATCTTGGAGCTTCTAATGTAGAGCTGCTCTTTCTCCAGCTCCCTGGCCAGGTTCCTGTAGCAGAACCTGCCAGGAAGAGTGGTTCCTCTAAAGAAGTTTGTTAAGGAGCAGGTGGCTGAGGAATAGGGTCCAAGGACACAGGGCTTTGCCCAGGAGCCAGATGACATGAAGGTAATGTCTGTACCAGTTGCTGGATCTTGTGATTGAGCACCATAAACTTGGTGACATAGAACATACAAGTAGGGCTGAAAAGATAGCTCAGCATTAAGACGCCTGCTGCTCTTACAAATGACCTGGTTCTGTCCCAGCATCCACATGGTGTCTTACAACTGTCCCTACCTCCACTTTCAGGGGATCCAGTGCCCTCTTCTGGTTCCATGGGCACCACACACACACACACAGTATATTTACACATAATTTATTGCAAAACACATACATATAAAATAAACATAATTTTTTTTGAGACAGGGTTTTTCTGTGTGGCTCTGGCTGTCCTGGAACTCACCCTTTAGACCAGGTTGGTCTCTGCTTCCAGAGGGCTGGAACTAAAGGTATGCACCACCACTGCCCAGCTTGATATTTAAAAAAAAAAAAAAGAGGATGTCTTCCTAATGGTCTGGAGGCCTGACATTTCAAATGCTCCTTACTACAGTTTCGGGGGCTTATTCCTGGTCTCTCTCCCTGCTTCTGTAGCTGTGTATGTGTGTGTGTCCTTGGCTGCTGCTTCTCAATGTGACTCTCCTACTTCTGCATACCTTCTCTTCTGAAAAGTCTTTCCTGTCATTGGATTTACAGCCTATTCTGACCAGTATAACATCACTGTAACCCATCTCATTTGCAAAGACCAAACAAGGTGCTAGTGTTGTTTTCAGGGATGGAAACACTGTTCATTCCAGTACAGCAATGCCAGCCCCAGGAAGATATACAATTCTCATGTTCACAGCCAGGCAAGCTGAGGTTCAAGGGACTAAACTGTCCCTGCTGGTGTCTCATTTCTTTGGGGGTGGGGTGGGGTTGTGGGTCCCATGTGTGTATGGAGGTGTATGGAGACTAGAGGTCTTAGGAGCCACTCAGCTTGTTTTTGAGACAGTCTCTTACAGGGACCTGGCACTTGCCAATTAAGCCACACTGGGTGACTAGAGAGCTCCACAGATCCCCCGTCTCCGCCTCCTCAGAGCCGGCATTACAAACATGTGCCACTACATAGAGCTTTTTATGTGGCTGGTGTGGTCCTTATGTGGCCTCAGGTCTTCATGCTTGCATGGTGAACACTTTATAGATTGAGCCATCTGTTTCCTCAGCCCTAAGATGTCTCTTTCTGTCTCTGATCTGAGACAGTCATTGAGATTGAGATGGGTCCACTGATCATTGTCAGAGGCTAGCCCACCCTAGGGTGAAACTCTTAACTCTTGCACCACCTCCTTGTTCTGGGCAGCTTGTGCCTGGCTTCTCTCTAGTGTTCCATCCAGGAAGCCTAGCTCCCTTCATCTTAGGGCCTCTGGAGCTCCACCTCCTTCTGCAAGTTCCCCCTGGTTTGCACACTACCTATAGTTAAGGCCCTGGGTATTTTGAGGTCCTCGTCAGGAGAGTGGTGTAGCAGTGTGGGGGTTCTGTGATGGAACAGGTGGGGTAGGGCCCAGGGTAGACAGGTGCCTCTGTTGACACAGCAGCTCTTAGCCAGGGTCCCGGGTTTGGCCTCTCAGTATGGGGAGGACTCACAGGTGTTGTTAGTCTCCAACATCTCTAACCCAGTGAGTGCCTTGGGCAAGGACACTGAGTGTGAGGTGCAGGAGAACAGCATGGTCCAGGTTACAAGGAGGCTCCTGATTGTGTTCCATCCTGGGGTTGATTATAGCTCACAGTAAGGGGATTTCCCAGGACCCTCTTTTGCCCACAATGCAGTAAGCAGCCAAAAGCTGCAGTCACCTTCAGGATGACAGACTGAAGACCTTGAGCAAAGAACGGGCAAAATCAGGTCACAAGGTCCCAGCCTTCCTCAGTTGGTGGGAAAAGGCAAGGGAGTTTGCAGGATGCCCACTAATCCTGCAGCTGGAACAGATGCAAATTTCCCTCCAAGCTTCTTGATCTAGTTTATTTCAGGTCCCTATTTCCCTGAGTGGGGAGGAGTTCAAGTCCAGCCCTCAAGCAGAGGAATTCCAAGTGAAGACAAGACAGTGGACCTGAGTTTTTGTAGTGCACCTTCATGTCTTCAGGAGCAGGTTGCTGCACTGAGAGGGGCTGTGTCTCTCCCTCTTTGCTGCCTAGTGAAGACACCCTCCACCTCCTTGGAGTGCTATGTAAGACTGGGCTTTTCTCTAGAAGAAATGTCTACATCACTGCCAGTCAGGGACTAACTTCCCCATTCCATGGTCTAGTGCCCTCAGAGCAAAATAAAAAGCATGGGGAACTCTGCTTGCTCTGAAAGGATCCTAGGCTTCTGGGACTCACAGCTGTCTGGGGCCCAGGAGATGGAGAGGTGTTTATATTTTTTGACTGGTTCACAGATAAAGAATAAATCCAGAGTGACAATCATTAGTGGGCCCTGGGTAAGGTCAGGTGTGGTATAACTCACTGCAGTTTCTATGCAGCACAGGTACTAAGAAGACACTGTTAGGACTGATCCTGTTTTTTAATTTTTATTTTGTGTTTTAAATTGGGTTGGCGTCTACCTGTGTAGTCTAAGCTGGCCTCTGTCTCTGCCTCCAGTGTTGGGATTACAAGCTTGCCTAGGCTAGGGCTGATTCTGAAGATGCACTGAACCTCAATCAGCTTCCAGCTTAAAACTCCAGGCACACACAGGAGGTACGAGGGTGTAACTTCAGAATCGCCTGTAGGTCTGGACAGCCTGTGGTCTACACAGAACCATTTTCATTCTCCCTGAAGACGAACAGATTCTGGGGACCTGGAGTAGTCTAGGTGAAGGTGATGTTCCTATATGTCTTTTCGAGGGGTTGACGGCCGGAAGGCGTCTACGGCATTAGAGATTCCCACCTCCGGGGCTGAGGGCATAGCTGAGATGCACGCGGCTGCGGTTGAGACACTGGCCAAGCAGGAGACTGAGAGCCGGGATGGAGCGCTAAGGATGGAAGACGCGCTCCTGGACAACAGGGACCAAGAACCTCCCAGACGATGGTCCTGGGAAGAGAACAACAGATGCCAAGGGTTTTCAAGTCCGTGGATATCGCGGGCATCAGACTGAGCAGCCCCGGGCTAAGCTCTTCCGAGAGCCGAGTCGGGCTCGCTTCCAACTCGTCACGCCGGCTCAGGTCTCTCTACACAGGGCCTGAGAACTACACAAACCCATAAGGCGCCAGACCATCGGGGCGGAACCCGAGGCGGAAGAGCTCGCGGGAGGAAATGCATCATTTCCGTTGCGCGGCTGGACACACGTTTTGTAGTCGTGAAGTTGGACGTGAAGCTCGGCTTCCGGGTTTGAGCGACGGAAGTGACGAACGCGCGGCGCGCCTTAGCGTGCGAGCCGAGGTCGCTATGACCAGTGTCCTGTGTTCCCGGGCTGCGGGGTGAGAGCTGCGAGGTGCGGGTGGGCGAGGGCGAGAGGCGGTCGTGGCGGCGAGGCGCTTACTGCTGTCTCTCTTCCAGAGCGGTCCGAGCTCTGCGGCTCGCGGGCTGGGCTTCGCGGAGCCTGCACTCGCCGACCCGTGGCCGGTCTCCAGCCCAGCCTGCAGACAGGGAAGAGGAGGAAGACCTCAACCTTCCAGTCCAGTTCTCCTCTAGCAAGGCTGCCCCAGTCCGCTGGACGGTGGATCATTCCCGGGGGAAGCAGTATCAGCAGCCTTGGTGGAAAGTGCTGCCGTTTACCCTCGCCCTCATGGTTCTGATCATGTGGTGCTATCTGAGGCAGGAGAGTAACAAGGACCAGTGGCTGGGACAGGTCTTGGGAGAGGAGGACGAGGAGGAGTCAGATGGTCGCCCGGAGGAACCTGAAGAAGCTCCGGTTCTCCACGGGGCTAGAACGTGACAGGGTGCCTGCTGAGGAAGGAAATAAGCAGCCGTCCTTCGATTTCGTTGTCGACTCTGGCGATTTCTGACCTGGTTCTGCTGGCGCTCTTGGCGCGGAGACGCGAGAACACAGCACAAAATTGGAGGCTTGATATCTGATCCTTGCCAGACACCAATGCCCAGTGGTTACGACCAAAGAACTTTTGAGGTTCATAGAACAGGTTGTGGGTGCACCGTGTGCTGTTGGATTTGTGATGTGCTTGTACAGCCTAATCATGTTTTTAAAGCAGTTCGGGCGGAGGTGTTCCCTGCACTTCATTTGCCTTCTGAGACAGAATAACTGCAAAAGTGTAAAGAGCCACGTTGTGTGCAACATAAGTTGAAGCTAATTTTAAATATTAACAAATGGAAAGTACATTTGGTGAAGCCTAATGAACACAATTCTCCCCTTGCATCAAGGTTTTTTGTTTTTGTGTTCGAGCCATAGTCTCCCTATATATGCCTCTGGCTGTCCTGGAACCGGCTATGTAGACCAGCCTTGCCTCAGACTCGGAGATCTGCCAGCCTCTGCTTCACTTCCCCAGTGATGGGACTAGAGGTGTACACCAGACACCCTCTGGCATCCTCTTTTGTTTCTATTATTTTTTTGGTTTTTTGAGACAGGGTTTCTCTGTATAGCCTTGGCGGTCCTGGTTTCTCTTTGTAGACAGGGCTGGCCTCTAACTCACAGAGACCAACCACGCATGGCTGGCATCTTGTTTGTGAAGGGAGTAATTTGCTAGGCCAATCAGTCAACCTTTTTTTTTTTTCTCCTGCTCTTCATTCCCACTTGAGAACTTAGAACAAAACCCAAAAATTATAATACATGCCTGTAATCCCATCACTTAGGAGACTGAGGCAGGAGAATCCTAAGTTTGAGGTCTGTTGGTCTATCTGAGCTACAGAGGGAGAGTCTTTCCAAAAAGCAAACGAAAAATTATTTTTCAAAGAGACAAAAAAAAGTGTCCTTTTTTGTTTGTTTGTTTTGTTTTTGTCTCTGTCTTTTTTTACAGTGTTGGGGGTTGAACCCAGGAATCTAACATGCTAGCCTACCAATGAGCTCTATTCCCAGCTCACATAGAATTGTTTTGAAAAAAATGTCTCCATCCATGCATCATGTCCTCAGTGCTGTCAGGCTGATAACTTCTCTCCAGTGATGTGGGTATTGAAGTCATGAGCAAAAGGAGAACGTTGGCAATTTGGGACAGTGGGAACACTTACTACACATCTGTTTTCTTTTAATTTTTCAAGATTGATTCTCTGTGTAGCCCTGGCTGTCCTGTACCTCTGGCTGTAGACCAGGCTGGCCTCAAGCTCAGAGATCCACCTGCCTCCTGCCCCTGGGATTGAAGGTGTGTGCCACCAGGCCCAAGCCTGACATCTGTTTGTTCGATTGGTTTTCATGGGGTGACAGTAGAGCAGGTTGCTGGCTGAAGTTACTTTCATGCTTATTTTTGTGCCATGTTTGTCTTTTTCCCAAATGGACTCTAGCCTGTGTTTTTCCTATGGCACTCAGCCTGCTGACTTCGGGTGTTGGGAGAGGACCTGCAAATATGAGACAGCACAGGTGACTGCTGCATGTACAAGATGATAGATAAAATTGTTGGGCAGGAAGAAAAATAAATAAATAAATAAATAAATAAAAATAAAACATGTTCTTTGAAGGGAGAAGGCATTAACCTAACAGACACTTAAAAATAATAAAGTTATTTTATGTGTATGATCCATGTATGTATGTGCCTCGCATGCGTGCCTAGTGCCCACTATGCAGGTCAGAAGAGGGCATCAGATCCCCCAGGACTGGAGTCATGAATGGCTGTGAGCCACCATGTGGGTGCTAGGGCCTGACGTTGGGTCTTCTGGAAGAACGGCCATTACTCTTAAGTACTGTGAGCTATCTCTCTAGCCCTATCAGCCACTTTTTGTTAAAAATGGGGAGTTCAGTAGTGTTGGGCAGCCCTTCCCCCTCAAAAAAAGTTAGCTGTTACACACAGAGAAAAAGCTGTTTTTGTTTTTTCTTTAGTCCTAGCCCTTAAGTGACAGCTTCAATAAAAAGGACCCATCTAGCCTTAGGGTGTAGGAACAAGCACATGTTTTGAAGGGTGATTAGGAACTTGGAATGCCTTTGATTATGTCCACACTGAAGGTCCTCCAGTTCCACCGTTCTGAGCTAGCTTTCCTGCTAGCTCTCCATAGCACCTTACAAGCCAGCTCTGCCTTCTGCCTTCTGTTTTGTGTCTCCACAAGCTGGAGTTTGGCGATTTACCTAGTTTTCATTTCCTGCTCCTCAGCAGTCTTTTCGATGTGTTTATTCCTCTGTAGATTCTCCTGACCTTACCTGCTTCATTCTTATGTGTGATCCACTTTGCAAAGACAATGTTCCTGGCCTATTTATTTATTTATTGAAGACAGTGTCTCGAGTAGGCAAGGCTGGCTTAGAACTCATTGTCCACATGCTTGTGCGACCACATCACCTTCCTTTAAGAAAGGAGTCTGTAAGCTACGGATAATGCTCAGGGGTAGAGTGTTTGGCTAGCATGCACCCAAACCCAAACTCCCAAACCCCAGAAGTTTCAAACAAATTGTCCACAAATGTCATATGAAAAAATCATCCTACCAGCAAGTGGTAATTTTAAAATACAGCTTACATACGTGGACCATATTGTCTTCGCTCATATTTTAGTCCGTGTTCCTGGAAATAAGACATTATTTACTTTGAGCAGAACAATCGCTTTCCAGTCTTTCAGAATACCTGTGGCTTTACAACTGATCAAACTTTATCCCTCGAGAACCCAGCTGAGGAGCTGTGGCCACTTTTCTTCGCATTTACGATGTCTCATGCCACATAGTTACTAGTGAGTGCGAGTCCCAGGGTTCTCCCCAATTCATCCTAGCATCTCGGGGCCCCGCCCCCCACGTGCACCCAAGCAGCCTGTGGATCCCAGCTCACCCTGATTTCTGACCACCTTGTACGCCCTTTATCCTGTGGGCTCATCTGGCAGCCTCTTACTTTGTGTTTAAAAAAAAAAAAACCAAACAGCTCAACAGGGAATTCACACTCGGTCCATCCTTAAACTCACCAATTGAATATAGGGGCGACCGCCGCCACAGCCTAATTATAGATTTTTTCCAGCTAAAAGAAACCTGTCCCCAACAGCAGCCCTCGGGTCCCAAGACCCGCCCGCAGCCCTGGACCCGGATAGCCGCTCGGGGACTCTCCACCAACGGGCGTGTCCCGATTTGCGCCTGTAACTTGCCGCCGTGGGCAACCCGCAGATTCTGCGTGTCGCCCCCGCCGCACGGCGCGCGTGGGCGAGGGGTCGCCGGGGGCGTGGCCGGCGCGGCGTGCCCGGGGGTGTGGCCGGCGCGGCGGGGGGCGCAGGGGGCTGGGTGCGGGGGGAGATCCGGGGGCGCCGGCGCGGCGCATGCGCGCTGCATTGTTTTGACTGAAAATGCCGTCGGTTTCGAAAGCGGCGGCGGCGGCGCTGAGCGGGTCCCCCCCGCAGACCGAGAAACCAACCCACTACAGGTCAGTGCCTGGGCTGCCGTCCGCGGCCTTCTGGGCGCTGCGGCGCGGTGGAGCGGCCCGCGCGCGCCCCGGGCCCGGGTGTCGCCGCGGAGGGTGCGCCCCGCCCGCGCCCGCGCCCCCGCCGCCAGCCCTTGCGGGTCACGCCGTCCGGGCGCGGGCCGCCGCCTAAGGTGGAGCGGCGGCGCCCCGGGTCTGCGGTGATCCTTCGCCGGGGGCCTGGGCTCGCTCTTGGTCTCCGGAGACCCCGCGCGCCAGCCTGGAGTCTGGGGAACGGCGCCTGCGTCTGGGGCTCAGGGCCGCGCCTGGGCTGGAGATGGACACGCGACCATCCGGACGCGGGCAATCGCCACCTGAGCTTGAGAGGCGGCGCCCGGCGGCTGGGGTGGCCTCTGGGTTGGGGGCGGTGCCGCACCTAGAGTCAGGTGGACGCCCGGATTTGGGGGTCGTTCCTGCGGCGCGGAAGAGGGGTTGCGCCTGGTGTGGGCGGGTGGCGCTTGCAGTCCATCTGGAAGCGGCGAAGGGAGTCGAGCGGGAGTCGGAAACCCGGACTAAGGATTGAGAGATGGCGCCTGGGGTCAGGGACTAGAAGGGGGCGGAGAATGGAGTCTAGTTGTGTAGAGTTCTCTGGGCTCGGAGTTGGAGGTGCAACGCTAGGAGGAGGTCTACGCCTTATGTTGGGGACCCTTCTCTGGGGACTGGGAAGTGGTGTTTGGGGTCAGGGAACGAATAATCTGTCTGGCTGTCTGGAGTTACCTGGTCTCTGAATTGGAGAATGGCTCCTGGGGTCCGGGGACTGACAGTACCCAGGGGAGGGTACCGGGCCTTGGCAGTCAGAAGAACTTGGTGTGGGGTCTGCGCGCCTGGGACCCGGCCCCGCTGCGTCCCGGGGGCCTCTAGCCGGTGGCGGCTGCGGTCCGCAACGCTGTTTGTCTTTTTAGGTATCTAAAGGAGTTTAGGACAGAGCAGTGCTCCCTGTTTTTGCAGCATAAGTGCAGCCAGCACAGGCCGTTCACCTGTTTCCATTGGCATTTCCTAAATCAGCGTCGGCGCAGACCGCTCCGACGGCGCGATGGCACCTTCAACTACAGCCCGGATGTATACTGCTCCAAGTACGATGAGGCCACCGGCCTGTGTCCCGACGGCGACGAGTAAGTGGGGCTCCGGTGGGTGGTTGCTGGCCTCTTCTCAAGGCAGACGTTGACTCTCTGGTCAACACGTTTTTGAGGTTTCTGGTTTTTGTTTTAAGACAGGGTGTCTCTGTAGCCCTGGTTGTCCTGGAACACTGCGTAGACCAGGCTGGCCTCGAACTCACTGAGGTAACTGTCTTGGCCCCTCAAAGTGCTGGGATTAAAGGTGTATGCCCCAGTGCTGGTCCCCTTGATTCTTTTTAACACCTTCTACCTGTAGAGGGGAACCTAATTTTTACTCAGGATTTCCGGGGGTCAGCTGTGTGTGTGTGTGTGTGTGCGTGTGTGTGTGTGTTTCCCTGTTTGTAGGCTAATTCCATGAAAGATTATGTATGTGTATTTTTTTGAAAAAAATCTTTGGTAATTAAAAGTGATTTTGATTCATTTCCCATCCTTATTCCACCCAATGCTCTACTTAAAAATTGGTCCATGGTTTGCATCTACCTCATTTTTTTTTTTTTTTTAATTTTTTTAGTGTGTGTATATATACTTATATGAGACAGGGTTTCTCTTTGTAGCCTTAGCTATCCTGGACTCACTTGGTAGACCAGGCCAGGCTCAAACTCACAGAGATCTGCTTGCCTCTGCTTCCCAGAGTGCTGGGACTACAGGCGTGTGCCACCACCCCTGGTTCAGCTGCCTAATTTAAAGGGGTTTTGTGTGGTCAGTTGCTTTTCAGTCTAGTAGTTGCCATAAGTGTGGAATGTTTCCTTGCTGCTTATCTGTATATTCTAAAGAAGGGTAGTAGAACTGCTATTTGGTAAGGATTTGTGAGATGATTTTGCTTTCTATTATTATTAATAATGTACTGGATATGGAATAGAACTCCTGGCCTTGCATATGCTAGGCAAGGCCTCTATCACTAAGACATACTGCAAGCTCATTTATTTAAAAAAAGAAATGGTAGGAAAGTTGTTTTATTTTCGCATTGTCATTTATGTAACACTTTCACATCTTGATAAGTCAAGGTTTTGTTGGGGTTTGTTTCTATTTTACAAGTTTCCTAATGGTGTTATGAACAGATGTCTTTATTTGTGTCTCTGTGTGCATGTGTGTGCTTACGTGTGTAGGTGCAGGGTATGTTTGGGTACTTTTTGTTTTGTTTTTTAAAAGACACAGGGTTTCTCTTTGTAGTCTTGGCTGTTCTGGATTCAGTTTGTACACCAGGTTGGCCTTAAATTTACAGAGATCCGCCTGCCTCTGCCTCCGAGTGCTGGGATTACAGGCATGCACCACCAAGCCCCAATGGGTGCTCATATTCATGTACGTCAAGAGTTCCCAGGTTAACCTCACGTGTTGTTCCTGTTTTAAATAGGCTCTCTCACTGGCTTGGAGCTGGTTAGGTAGGCCAGGTTGGCTGCTCTGTCAGCAAGTGCTAGGGACCACCTCACTCTACCTCTTAGCACTGTGATTACAAGTATGTTCCATTGTGGCCAGTTTTGTTTGTTTATTAAAGGAGAGTTTCAGGGATCAAACTCAGGTCTTTATGTTCTCAACGTATTTTTGCTGGCTTAGCTATCTCTCCAGCCCCAAATGTCTTCATTTTAAAATATGAAGACATAGAAAGTCCAAGTCAGACTTTGTGTTCAGGGGTAGGTGAAACAGTATCAGGAGGTGTAAAGTTTTTCATTGGGCAATTTGGGGATGTGGTGGGTAGTTGCTTTCTACCTAGAGGTGAGGTAATCCCCCCCCCCCACTTGTTATGTAGACTAGGCTAGCCTTGAACTCCCAGAGATTGCTTGCCTAAAGGTATTCACCATCATACCAGGCTTTGTTTGTTTGTTTGTTTGTTTGTATTTTGTTTTGTTTTTTTCAAGACAGGGTTTCTCTGTGTAGCCCTGGCTGTCCTGGAATTCACTCTACAGACTAGCCTGGCCTCAAATTCATAGAGATCTATGCTTCTCCCTCCCAAGTGCTGGGTCTAAAGGAATGCGCCACCACTGCCTGGCAGCAGTCTCTGTCTTGAAGGGCTGGTCTCTTGACACTCTGGAGGGATCTGGT